AGACAACGTGTGTTGGACTTGGAGCTGTAGAAATAAACTGAACTGAATTTAGACACAACAAAAGCACCTCTACTCCTAAATCTGGATCTGTGAACATCTAGAAGCATCTGGTTGTTTGACCTCAAAGTTCTGGATGAAGAGTGAAGATAGGTTGGAGCAAGCTTTAAAAACTAACAATAAAATCTTAAAATCAATTCTATAAGATACAGGTAAGCAGTGTAATGAAGCAGCACAGGTGTTATGTGCTCATGTTTCTGTGAACCAGTTAAAAGTCAGGCTGCAGCCTTTTGAATCATTTGGAGACGATGTAAGGAGGACTGATCTGTGCCCTTATACAATGAATTACAGTAATCCAATCATGTTGTGATGAAAGCATGAATTATTTTCTCAAAACCTCTAAAACAAAAATAGGACTCTTGGCTAAAAGACGTAAATAGAAAAAGCCTGATTTGACAACTTGCTTATCCAGTTTCAAACAACTGTCAAAGACAACACCAAGGTTTCTAACAGCTGTCTGGTAAAATGGATAAAGATCCAAGAATTGCATCAGGGACACTTCCAGTATTTTTCTGTCCAAATAAAATGACTTGAGTTTTGTCATCATTCAAATGGAGAAGGTTTGAGTCCATCCATGATCTCACTCCACCTAAACAGTCTGAGACCGTAATTATCCTTATTTTTCCCAATTAAAGGTATATAAATCTGTACATYATCTGCAAAAACATGGAATGAAATATTAAACTTTCTAAAAGCGTGTCCAAGAGGCAGCGTATACAGTGAAAACAAAACCGGGCCCAGAACTGAACCCTGAGGGACTCCATACTTTAAAGGTGCTTCAGCAGAGGAACAGWGATCTAAATGAAGAGAGTAGCTCCTGTCCGTCAAAGATGACTTGAACCACGCCAGAACTGTACCCCTAAGACCAACACAGAGGACGCCAGGTATCAAACGCTGCACTTAAATCTAAGAAGAACAAGGCAGCAACATGCGCTGAGTCCATTAAAACTCTGAGTAAGGTTAGGGTTGGATTAACAACGTGATCTGGGTCTACGTCTACTGGAGGCAACAAGACTGACCAGGTATCTTCATTTAGACATTTTTACATACTTCTGGTATTCCAGCAAAATACTTTTTAGAATGTCAAAAGAAACCTGTAGCCTTTCCTTTTCCCACCTCCTGGATACAAAAGAACCGATGATCAGCTGGTTCCAGAACCAGAACCAGGACTAGAACTGACTCAGACTAACCTTCGGGGGTCCAAACCAGACGGACAGCCAGGAAGTCGTGCAGGTTGTTGAGCAGAACGTATTTGACCTTGAAGCGCTCCTTCACGGTGACGGAGCTCGGACAGCTGGCGGTCATCACGAGCCGAGGGCGGTCCAACCGGATACTGGGCAGCCTGGGGGGGCAGGGGGGGTCAAGGTTCTATGTGGTTCTTAGTCTGGGACCTCTGGTCTAAAGACCCCGACACACACAAACAAAACTCTGAATAAGAACCAGAGACCAGAGCAGTCCRGTCTGTTTCTGACCTGTAGTGGGTGTAGATACAGTTGGTGAAAGGCATCTTGGGAGTTGACCACTGCAGCACAGCGACCAGAGGGACCTCYAGACCCTAAGACCCCAAACAAACTGATGAAGTGACAGATCTATAGACTTCAGAGTCACACCCTGAAGCTGAAATAAAGTCAGGTTAGATTTCACTCAGACCTCGGTGGACTCATCCGGTGGCGTTTCATTCAGGTGAAGCTGGAACAGGAAGTCGTGTTCCTCCAGAGCGCTGAGCATGCTGGGAAGGCGGGAGGCGGTGCTGTCCACACGGGTGAAAGATGCCATGCCAACCTCACCGGAGTGATGGCTGGTGAAAGAAAAAACAGGAAGTAACACTGTGATTACCAGGAAGTAACAGAAAAAAACAGGAAGTAACACTGTGATTACCAGGAAGTAACAGTAAAAAAACAGGAAGTAACACTGTGATTACCAGGAAGTAACACTGTGATTACCAGGAAGTAACACTGTGATTACCAGGAAGTAACACTGTGATTACCAGGAAGTAACACTGTGATTACCAGGAAGTAACAGTAAAAAAACAGGAAGTAACAGTAAAAAAACAGGAAGTAACACTGTGATTACCAGGATGTAACACTGTGATTTACAGGAAGTAACACTGTAATTATAAGAAGTAACACTGTGATTACCAGGAAGTAACAGTAAAAAACAGGAAGTAACACTGTGATTACCAGGAAGTAACACTGTAATTACAGGAAGTAACACTGTAATTACAGGAAGTAACACTGTGATTTACAGGAAGTAACAGTAAAAAACAGGAAGTAACACTGTGATTACCAGGAAGTAATACGGTGAAAAACAGGAATAACAGTGTTATTTACAGGAAGTAACACTGTGATTAACAGGAAGTTACAGGGTAAGAACAGGAAATAATTTAGTGGTTAACAGGAAGTATTAACAAGAAGAACAGATGAAAAGTTCTGAGTCTAACATAAACTTGAATGTCATCCTCTGAGATGTCAGAACGTACCAAACGTTGTCTACGAGCAGCACGGAGCCGTCGGGCATCACAGGAAGATAGGAAGCGTTCAGGTTGGGTAGAATACGGACGTCTCGAATGCTCACCTCCTCCTGAGACAATTCATTCAGAACTGAGGAGAAACCAGATCAAAGTTAACTGTCTGAGATATTCAAATATTCTGTTTCGAGTTAAAAAGGTAAAACTAAATTGGGCTTTAAACTCACTAAACACAACAACTGAATTAAATTCCCAGAACCTGGACCACATGCTGTACCTTTGAGGATGGCCAGGTGCCTCCCAGAGACGGTCATCTGTTTACAGCGAACAGTGGGAGGAGGCAGGACGGTCAGGGTGGTGCTGACTGCAGAGAGAGGACAGCTTGGGTCAAATAAAAACATTTCACTTTCTGTGGCATGAACCTCAAATTAAATATGAATAATTAAAAAAATAAAGATTAAATTAGAGAATCAATGAGATCAGAGGTGCTGTGTGTTGATAAAAACAGACAGCCCTCCTGTGTTTGGTCCTGGTACAGCAGCGAAGTTTTAAAACTGACCAGTTCCAGGTTGAAGCAGAAAAACTAAACATCAATGAAACATCAGAAGACAGTTGATTATAGAAACCAAAGAACCCATCAGCCCGCTGCAGGTAAAGGTTTCTGCAGGACCGGAGTCCTACCCTGAGCCTTGAAGGTGTTCAGGTCGTGTCTGAAGGTGTGGGACGGTTCTCTCTGCTGCAGGACGCTCAGGTAGCCCAGCTCCTGAACCTCCACCTTCTCTGCCTCCTTCTTCCACACCGTCACCATCACCTGCAGCCCAAAACACAAACAACTGTGTCAACCTGCCGCAAAACAGCCGAAACATCTGGACTCTGATCAGCTTAAAGCTAAACGTGAAGGATAAGAACAGAACCAGCAGCTGAAGCTGAAAACACAGGTTTAAAATAAAAACAAGACCCAAATTTATTTTACAGACTGATGCTGACTCAGCATTAGAGCCACAGACTAATGCTGACTCAGCATTAGAGCCACAGACTAATGCTGACTCAGCATTAGAACAGATTGATGCTGACTCAGCATTAGAACAGATTGATGCTGACTCAGCATTAGAACAGACTGATCCCGACTCAGCATTAGAACAGATTGATGCTGACTCAGCATTAGAACAGATTGATGCTGACTCAGCATTAGAACAGATTGATGCTGACTCAGCATTAGAACAGACTGATGCTGACTCAGCATTAGAGCCACAGACTGATGCTGACTCAGCGTTTGGCTGCAGACGCTCTGAACTGATGTATCTGTTGCCATGGTTACCTTGACCTTCAGGGTGTTGACAGGAAGTTTGTCCAGAGAGACGGTGAGCGGGAAGATCACCTCGTCTGTCAGAACCACCGGCTCGTCCAGAGGAGACTGGAACAAGCCGGGAGAAGAAAATCTACAGGAACTGATTGGATGGTGAGAAGTGGGCGGAGCTAAACTACAAACCATTGTGTACCTGGACCGGTGCCCTGCGGAACTCCCTGGAGGCGGTCCCGGAYGAGTTGTGGATGAGGAGGGGCTTGCAGTCCCTGAAGCTGCGGCAGCGCGAGTCCACCCGGCTCCCCAGCGCCGCTATGGCCGCCTCCGCCGCGGCCATGTAGTCGTCCTCGCCGTCCTCGTCTGCGCCGCTCTGGTAGTCGTGGTGATGGTTACCGCGGTGACGGCTGTTCTCACCAGGGCTCACGCTGGCCACGGCACACAGCGAGCCGGCCAGCTCCCTCCACGCTCGACTACTGACGGACTCTGTCCCGAAACCTGCAGCGAGTCCATCAGCACCGTCTGCAGACAGGAAGTCATCAGGTTTGAYGCAACCATAGACCTAAATAATAACCCTAGASTAAGCCCCGCCCATCCCCTCCACAGATATTTATATAAAGGCTAGATAAGTCATAGCGGAGTCTCCGGCATCCTCACMCGGCGGCCATCTTAGGACAGTCAGCAACACCAGCTGTAGCTGTGATTTCCACTAACAAAAATATGTGTAATTCACTGAAATCTTGACGGATTTAMAAACAGCTTRGTTTAWTATAAGAGTTATAAATGTGGGAACGATTTGTAGAAATCAGACAGCAGTTTTTCTCTTTTTAAAAAGTTTTATTTGTGTTTTATATTCATAGTTGTGCCACACTCACAGCTGGCTCTACTTGTTAAAGTTATCAAATGC